GGGCAGGGACGGGGCCGGGGGCACAGGGCGAGGGCCAGCGCAGCGGCGCCAGGGAGGGACGGGCCGACGGCCTTGGCGGCGGCGGCGGCAGCGGCGCAGCCGCAGGCCCCGCCGGCAATGCCGGCGCTGCTCACAGCGGCGACGGCGACGCCGTCGCAGCGGCCCGGAGTCGCAGGACCGCCAACCACCTGACGGTCTCCCTTGTCCGCATCAGCAGTGTAGTCGGCCTGGGCGCCGCCGGTGGCGCAGGGCCGACGCGGCCCCCGCACATAGCCCTGGTTCAGTCCCTCGTCGCCGGGACGCGCCAGCTGTCCTCGGGCGCCTGCTGCAACAGCTGGTTCGGCGCCGCGTGCGCGGCCGAGGCGCTCGCGAGCCCGAAGCTGCTGCCAGCCCTCATTGCGCACGCTGCCGCTCACAGCGCCGAAGCGTCGAGCCCCTCGCCGCTTCGGCCGTGGTGCGAGCTCGCGCACGACGCCCCCGGCATCCTGCGCCGCTGCAGCGCCGTGCTCGCCGACCACAAACAGTGGCGGCGGCGGCGCTGGAATCTGCTGGGCGGCGGTGGCGCCGCCGTCGGCGGCGGCGGCGGCGGCGACGTCGTAGGGGGCGAGGGCGACGACGTGGGGGCGGCGTGCCAGCCCCTGAGCAAGGACGAGGCAGTCAGGGACGAGGCGGCGGACGCAGCGCACTCAACATGCCGCTGCGTGCTCGCCGTGCTTGCCAGGGTCCTGCTCATGCAGCTGCCGGGCTCGGGGCGCCACGCTGTTTGGCCGCTGGCAATCGGGAACGGCGGCGAAGGTGAAGAGGACGGCGGCTGTGGCGGCGGCGCGGTTGGGGCCGTCGCGGCGGCGCGCCCGGCTCTGCCCCGGGCCTGGGATGAGCTGTGGGCGGCGATTGCTGCGGTGGGCGGCTGCGGTGAGCTGAAATCTCTTGCGCTGCTGGCGCTCGCGGTGGTTGAGGCGCGGCGCTGTATCGCCTGCGCCGGCGAGGCGGCCGGCGCAGGCGTGGCACCAAGGGGCGCGGCGGCGCACGCGCGGCTGCTGCTCAACCAGCTGTGGGGGATCATGCAGGAGGAGGCTGCTGTAGTGGCAGCTGCGCCATACCCTGACATGCGCACGGCAAGTGAAAAAGCCGCAGAGCGTGGGGCGCGGCTGGTGGCGGCGCGCGACAAGGTCCGCAGCGTCGTCAAGGCGCGCAAGGCTGCGGTGCGGCGGGAGATAGCGGAGATGTCCCGCGCACTGCAGTCGCCGTCCCATCACACGCAGCAGCGGCGGCGGCAGCAGCAGCAGCAGCAGCAGCAGCAGCAGCAGCAGCAGCAGGTTGGAGAGAACGGCTTGATCAAAGAACTGGAATATGCTGATCAGGAGGCAGAGGAGGAGGAGAGGGAGGGGGAAGAGCAGGCGGGTTGCGGTTGCAGCGACCAGGATGACAAGCGCGAGCGATGGGCGCTGCTGTTTGGCACCAGCCCCGCACTAATCGGCGCGCTACGCACTAGGAGCGACTTTAATTGCGCCTGCCTCGGCCAAGGCCCGCCGCCGGGGCCCCCTGGCGCCTGGGTGGACCCATTGATGGACGGCTCCCTGGCCGCGATGGTGTGCACCCCTGGGGCGGCATCGCCAGGCGGCGGGCTTGCCTGCTGGCTCGCGGCGGCGGCGGACGCGATTGAGGTGGCGCACGCGGACCACGAGGCGCTGGGCAACGGCAGGCGTCATGTGCATCACGAGCCGGTGGTGCCCTCAGGGTGGCTGCCAGCCGCTGCTGTCGCGGGGAAGCGGCGTGGCCAGGGGGAGGGCGCTGACGCCGAGGTCGGTGCGCCCGCGGCCCGGCAGCGGCGGCGCTGCGCGTTCTGCGGCGCGACGGCGGCAGACGGCGCGCAGCTGCGGCGCTGCGCGGGTGCGGCCCCGTGACGGGCGTGCGCTACTGCAGCCAGGCCTGCTGCCGCAGCCACTGGGTGCGGGCCGGGCACAGGCAGCGGTGCGAGGAGGCGCAGCGGCAGCTGCGTGCGCAGGAGGGGCTTCAGGAATCCGCCGGGAGTGGTTTGATGTGAGCAGCTCTGGGCTCTGGCAGACCGATCAACAGAGCCAATGGTGCTTTCCTGCCACCACAATATTGTTGCAATACTGTACATGATACGCAGTTTTGGAGTATTACTCATTGCAAGCAGCAGAATTTGCTGCAGCTGCTCCCCACGTTGCCGCCGTGCGTCATATCGCTGCTCTTTAACATTGCGCGCTCACGCTCTTGCGGAGCGCTCATATTTGCTGCCCCAGGGGATTTTATGGAGGGCCCTGATGCGAAGCACTCCGGGCCCGGGCGTGATGGCCCCTGGCGGGCTACCTTTGCCACTGGGATACCCCTCTGCTGGTGGGGCAACCCCTTGCCACCCGCAGCGCTGGGATTCCAGCAATCTTATGGTGCAGCCCTGTGCTTGCAGCGGAAATCGGTTGCCCCGTTTGTGGGTGTGTGGCGATCCGCCTCATGCATCAGGTCCAGTGCTTGCCTGACAGCGCATTGTAACACCCATGGCTGGTCTGGACGGTTGTATGCATGCGGTAGTGCGTGTCTGCTGCATCCACATGCTTCAACGGCCATCCATGCTCATGTGACCTAGTGAGGGAGCATCAGCTGTGTGCGACTGTTATCGTTTGGGGCCCCACCTTGAGCGGTGATGCACCTCTCCAAGCAAGTATGTACAAAGGCCCTGATGCGCGTGTGTGACGGCGGACTGAGTATGCATGCACGTGTGCATGCGTGCAGCGGCGTGGAGAGTTGGCGGCGTGCGGCGGCTTCAACATCGACTTGCTGCACAGCAGTTGCATTCAGCATGCTTCAGCCCCCTGATTGTACTTATGCACGCGCAATGCAGCTTTGTTTTCTTCTGACGCATTGTTCATTTTGGTTTGCACATTTCACAACCTGCTGCTAGCTGCACACGCGTCTGGCAGTTGTGCAATTTGCCAGGTGGTCAGCATGCGGGCACCGTGGTATGCCAACCGCACCCAATGTGAGTGCGCAATACACCTGCAACAGTGCTTGTATTATAGATGGATAATACTATAATTTATAGCTGCAAAAAGTCAAGTCACTTCCTTATCAACTCCAAACCGGCTCCATTTCACTCCTTAGCCATATGGATATTAGCAGGGAGGCCTCCTCCTTGCAGGCTCCTTGCTGACTCCTTAACCCACAGATAAGGAGGACCTTGAGGAGTGTATAAGGAAAAGCCTCTTTCGTGCAGTCATGCAGGCTCCGTGGGTCATCAATACAGACGATGTTCATGAGTTTAGGACTGATGCAGCGTATTGCAGCCGCACACCCCTGGAGCCATCATGGAGGCTGATGGGGAGGCTGCAATACTGTAATTGTGTGGCTGTTACTCACAAGGGGAGGGGGCGACAAAGGGGATGCATGCGGGTGCAGAGCGTGACTGGGCCCCAAAGTGCACATGCACAGGGGAGCATGGCAACGCTTATTGTTTGTTGTGGCAAGGGGTGGGTTGTCAGTGTGCAAATTTGGAATGCGTTTGGGTGTCCCATTGCGTGGCGGCTGCTGCTCGACAGCTGGTGACAGCCTGAAATGGTGGTGGGCTGCGTCGGAACTTGCTTGAACATCAACCCCAGTCACGAGGTAGGTCAGGAGCCTGTTCCTTGCTGGTCGCGCGCGCGAACACCTGTCCAAACACCAGTTAAGGATCAGCTGCTACTTTGTCGTGCAGCACATAGATCCAAGGCGCTTTCTTCCTCATCCAAGGTCGAGAGGTGGTCTGCATTACCACAAGGATGCAGCCTTGATTGTACGGCCGCACAGTCGATTGGGCTGGATCCCTGCACAAGTGCACGCACACCGCTGCGTTGGCACCGCGAATTCCCACAGCAGTTCTGCTGTGTTGACTGGTGGCTTCAACACGCACGCATGCTGTGTACCATGGCATGTGCTGAGAGCACTTTCCGCTGCCACCTGCTGGGGCGTCCTCATTTGCTGGTGCTATTATCGCTCTTGGCACACATGGGATGTCACACCAAGGCTCTTAGCACAGGGTCAAAGGGGCACAATAGCTGTGGTTGGTCACCGTCTCACAGAACAAATTGAAAAAATAGAATAAGGGCTCCTTAGTCACCTTGTTTCCAGGCCGTTGCTGAGTGGCAGCCTGCCCGCTGATGTTCCCTTTGCAGGTACACCAGAAACAATTGCACCCCCAGGGGCCTGAACAAACCAGCGGGGCAGCTAGTGTGTGCCGCACGCACGTATAAGCGACTAATGTCAAGGCAGCAGTTTTGATCTGATGCTCTAATGAGGCTGCGATGTGTCTTCACTCAGGAGTGCTGCCCCAGGTGTTGCGGCGGGCTAGCCCTCCTTCGTCCCTGATCTGACAATCCTGATTGCTGTGCGACTTGATAGGGTGAGCTCTACGCTCCGCCTGTCCCCTCGTCCCAAGCACTTCAATGATTTGATTTTTTAAAGGCTACCAGAGTGTATGGTATGACTGGCATGCTTTTGATTGGTTCAGGTCAGTGCGCCGCGGCGCGGTGCAGCTGCCTAAAAGCTGGTTCAACGATACGATAACGACCACCAGCACAAGCCGATAGCGGAAACATATGTAGAGTTACCCTCTAGAGGCTTTACCATCATAATGGCATGGTATTCAACCAATGCTGCGTCGTGAGAGCGATCTTCGTTGTGACGTCGCGCCAAGATGAGCGAACCACACCAGCAAACCTCTGCGCTCCTTATCGCATCCATCGGCAACTTGGATGCCTTCAATCACCCAAGTGATGACACAGGCACGATCCTAGACTCCGACAACACCGCCGGCGGGCGCGACGCTGTGCACGCTGCGTTGGCGCTGCCATCTTCCTACCACCAGACACATCTCAAAGACCATTTCAGAGTCGTCAGGCATGTCCCCACATCTAGCACGCACCCCAAGTCAGCGGCACAGCGTCCCAGCCAGGTTGCAGCAGCAGTGCCGGCCCTCCCGGCCACATGCACGCCTGCAGTGCAGCAGGATGCTGCACCCTCACTCGCCACCGGCCACGGCATCAGCAGCGCCCTCACTGAGGCTGGTATTGATTCAGCCATTACAGCAGTCCCACATGGCGCATGGGGCAGGGGCTTCGCAGCATGGGGGCTGCTGCAGGCGCCAGCCGCGCGGGCAGTCAACAACAGCAATACAGAGGACGACGCCGGCGGCAGCCTCGCCAGCGCCGAGGGGTCCGATGACAGCGATGGCTGCCCCAGCGTCTGCCAAATGCGCGGCGCCAAGCGGCCCCGCAGATCAGCACGGCTCAGCGGCGCGCATGCGCCCAGCGAGCAGGTGTGTGGCGCCGGCTGCGCCGGCGCCCGCGGGCCGGCCGAGGCAGCGGGGCGCCGGCGTCACGCCAGCGTCACGAGCGGCGCCGCTGCGGCCAGCGGCGGGGGCGCCAGCTGCATGACGGGCGCGCCTCTGGCATCCGGCTGCTTCGGCGCCGCATGCGCTGCCGCTGTGTATGGGGACGAGGACGGCGGCGAGTTTGGCTTCGACCCGCCTGGGGCCGCCTCGGGCGCCGCCATGGCGGCCATGCGCGCTCCGCCCCTTGCATGCGACCCCTCCCCACCGCCCTGCACCATGCAGCGGCCGCCATGGGCCCCTGGTGGCGCCATGCGTGCGGCGCATGCGGCGCGGCAGGCGCCGTCCCAGGCCACGAGCACCGGGACCGCGGACGAGCGCGCGGCCAGCGGCGCCCCCCTCGGCCCCGACCGCTGGGGCGCCGCGCCTCCGCCATCCGGCGCCGTTGGTGCCGCGCGGCGGCGGGCGGCCGCGCGCAGCCGCCAGCCGTCGGGGCGCGCCCTCAGCGCGCGCAGCGTCGGCGCGCGCTCTGCGCCGCTGGGAGCGCCGGGCGACCTCTCAATCCAAGTCAGCAGCGCGGCTGGTGACGATGAGTGCAGCGACGACGCACTGTCCTCCATGCGACGCGCCGACGACCGTGCAGCCGCCGCCGCCCTCACGGCGTCGGCGCCGCCGCGCTCGTCCGCGCATGCGCTCAGCGGCTCTGGCGTGCCCGATGCTGGCCGCGGCCTGGCCCCGCCCGCGCCGGGCCTCGCCGCCTCTTCCGCCGCTCTCCTCTTCGCGCCAGCTGGCGTCGTCGGGGAGTCCCATGCCGCCGCCACATGTGACCCCATCCCTGCACCCATGGCCCCGTCCCGCTCGCCCCTCCTCCTTGTGCGCCGCTCGACCGGGCCCCCCGCGCCCCTCGGCGCCGCCGCGCCCCTCTTCGCTCCACTGGCGCCCCCGGCGTGCGGTGCCCCGGCTCCCCCCCTCAACCTGCTGGACGACCCCTTGGAGGGCGTACCCTGGTCCGGCCCCGCGGCGCAGCGGCCCTATTACTACCAGTCGCGCTACGAGCAGCTGCTGCACGCGATCAACCTCAAGCCGGCGCCGCGGCGCGCGGCGCACGAGGACGAGGAGTGACGCGGGCGCACCGGGCACGCCGCCGCAGGGGGGCGGCCCGGGGCGAGGAGCGGGCTGACTGTCGATTGCAGCAGGATGACGAGGGGCCGGGATGAGGTGATGGGTGAAAGGGAAGCTTTGGGCTGTGGTGCTGGGACTCAAAACAATAATGCAGGATGGAGAGGTTGGGCCTGTATTGCTTGCCGCACCCCACAAGTGCAGGGGTGGCGTATTGAACCAGAGATTGATTGACCGCGCGCCAGCTTGGGCTCGCCGCGACCACTCCCGTTCGTCAGCAGCGGCCTGCAAGGACCCTCGGCTAGGACCATGCTTGATGCTCAGCTGCATCCTTCTGCTTGCCTAGGTGTGGGTAGGAAACCCTTCTGCCTGTCTTGTCAGGCATGCTGTTTGGATAGGACTGCGTGTAAGCATAGGTTTTCAGCGGTGCGTTGGCTGTTCGCAGACTGTTACACCGAAGGTGCATGAATGGCTACATTGACAAGGTGGGAAGGGAAGGAAAGGGGTAGACCCTGGCTTGCAGGCAAACTACTTGCTGAGGTGGCTGATGCTGCCGAGGGCGCAGCGGGCTGGTCCTCCCGGCGCAAGGAATGCATTGGAAAGTCGCACGCGAGGCGATGAGCAACGCCGTGGAGGCGGGGTCAAGGAGTCAGTCAGGCAGACGGAATGCTGAAGTCAAGTGGTGACGAGTCAACCCACAAAGTCGTCGGCCAACGAGCAAATGGATGGAAGCGCAGGCCCCCCAGAAAACCGCGCGCCCCAAGCGGTCGGCTCCGACAGGGCGAGGCCGCAGCTCAGCCCTTTCGGCCCCACACGCGCGCCTTGAGGCAGGCGGCAAGCGCCTCCGGCTCAGGCACGTTGCGACCGCCGGCCCCCGTACCCACGCCATCCGCGAAGTCCCCCTCCAGCCGCTCTTCGCCCTGCCCGCCGCCGTCTGCGCCCGTC